TCCATCTCCGTTAAATCCAAATAAACAGGTGCACACAAAGGATCCATTTGTGTTTTGACAAGTAGCGTTCAGTTGGCAATCGTGAGTATTTTTTTGACATTCATCAATATCTAAAAAAATGGGAAAGAAAAGAAAAATTCTACAACGGAAGTGGTTCCACGAGTCGGATAACACATTCATTTTTAACTTTTATAAGATGAAAAAGCATTACGTTAGCTATCATTGTGATAAATGAATTGTTAATTTAAACTAAACCAAAACTTCCACTGCAGCGGAATCTCTCTCTAGACACCCAATCAAACTGTAGCCGGATATCAGTCGTCAAAGGTCAGCCTTGGAAGGCTTCCTTTAAAATACCCACTCGACGGCCAAACGTGATATATAAATATAGGTGGTTCAAATACTCTTTGTTCTTATGGGCATATTCTGTAATTAACCTTTTTCGCAATGTTCTCCTTCAAATCCAGGAGGGCACAAGCATCGATATCCCTGATACATGAATGAACGAACTTAAGTTTTGTTAAACGTCGGTTGTTTTCCACGATTCATCACCGAGTTGCTGAATTTGAATTATACCTTATATTTTACCTTTGAGCCTCGATAATAAAAATCAGCATCAGTTATCAGGTCAGTATCATTTTCAAGATGAGTGGCGTTATTCAGTTCACAGATATAAGCGATTCCTCCAGTCTCTGGCTCTTTTTTGAAGTTAGCACTGACGCAGTTGTCGTTCATGTAGCAGAAAAGCTCACAGTGATCCAAGTCTTTGACGTATTTAGTTTCGATTTTATGGTTCATCAAACGTCTTTTAGCAAAGAAGAAGTAATCTGGAAACAGCATTGTGCGATCTCGCTCTGAAATAAAGCAATCAAAATATAATAAAAACAATTTTTTCTTTTCATACAGAAATAAACTCACGATTCCAGTTATTAAGCGTGCAAAATAACACGCTTGGTAAACAAAGAACTGTATCTCAATTAAACCATTACTACGGGAAAATGGAGAAAAATTGATACTACCTTCATTTGCTGACTTTTGTCTTTCTGTGAACATAAGTATCTAGGACAATTTTCCAAGTTTCAATTCCGCGATCAGAGATTTCCACATGATTTCAGCGGAGACTTCTATTTCGATAAAGTAGGTTAACACATAAAATGCTTGCGTAAAAGACAAATTTGAATAAAGTTTATAATTGTTTTTTGATCACGCTACCACTCTTATATCAAAATTTTGGAATATTTTGTATAATAAGGCACTAGGTAATTACACCCTGCCCCCTTCCCCACTGAGAAAAACTTTCAAAACAAAAGAGAAACGAAAACAAAAATTGGTAGCAGCGACCATCACTTTTCTTTTGTGAAGACACAAGGCTTTTAGAGAGAGGGTTCAGTCTCTCTATTTTCCGGAGCGATATTATTTTAGGGGAGATAGGACAAAATCCGTAAAGAATACGATCCGTCAATCTTTTACTGTTGCTGTAATTTATCATAATTTTGAATATTTTGTGTAATAGGGCACAAGGTAATTAACCCCAGCCCTCCCTCCCTCCCAAAGTTTAAAAACAAAAGTAAAACAAAAACAAAAATTAGCAGTAGCGACCATCACTTGTGAAGAAAGGATGTTTATAGAGCATTTCGTGTCTTCTTGTTTCCCCTGAACGATATTATTTTAGCGGAGATAGAACAAAAGCCGTTTAAAAAAGCTATCCGCAAATTTTTCTCAAGTTCCTTCTCTAATTCATGATCGATAAGTCATGAAAAAAAATCATTTTTCTTTATAAACCTTTTCACTTTCTTCATCACACAGGTCCTTGAAATTCAGAGTTTCTTACTCGAGTTTAAACGATCGCCTTTGGTTATTTAGATCGATTATCACAGAAGAGGAAATTTATGCTAATTTTCATTAAGACGGGCTATCGTTGTCAGGCATCACGCAGGAGATTCATATACGGGTTCAAGATGTTTCTATCGATAAATTCAGTATACATTGGGAAATTTGACTTTTTTCCTGTAAAATAGTAAATTTAAATGAAGAAAGTCAAACACTATATTTCTCAAACAAAAAATATCGAAAGTACCAACAATTTAACGGTAGTCATGCCACCTGTTTTTGAGGTGAGTGCCTTTAAACTAATCCTTAAATATATTTTTGCTGACCTGAACTTTCTCTGAGACTTGCACAATATTCGATTTTAGCTTTTGATAGATAAGCTATGTTCATGGACGAATATACAACAAAACATTGTAGGCATTCTTTAACATATGTCAGCACTGTTCTCTTGTAAACGAAGTAATTTGTATTTGCCAAAGTTTTTTGTCGTTTTGCATCTCATATCCAATTTTCTGAATAAAGAAACGATAAAACATTTTTGTTAAATACCTTTTAATTTTTCAAAAACGAGTTCCAATCTTGGGTGGATGTTCAATGTCGGTTTTTGACTTAGTCTTTGCTAATTGTTGTAACTTTAAGTCTTTTTGTATCAGTAAAAGAGAATAAAGGAGATATATAAATAAGGTTGCACTCATAAGTGAATCGAAGGATAAAAAATGATTCGCCGTCTGCGACTCACCTTTTCCAAAAGTGAAGTTAGTCAATAATGCATTCCAGGCTATGAACATGAAAAATGAAATAAATTCCATGCCTTCTTCAAGGTAACGGTTTTCTGTTTCTATCACGCGCGTATGGCACAAGTTTTAAGTTGATCGCCAGCTCCCAGCAGTGGATTAAGCTTCCCAAATCGACCTGTCGTTATGAACGAAACCGTATTATGAAAATAAATTTTAAAAAAAGGCCTGTAGCTGTCGGTTCTATGTGGACATTAATGCAAATGACGCAATTGGGTGTTATCCGCTTCGCTCGATGGAGAGAATTAGATCTCCTAGGAATATCTTTAAATGTTAACATACGTATCAGACAGTGAAATTAGTCCCCAGAACAACGTTGTAAAAATTTCGATCAATTTTTTGAAGGTCTAATTGACAGCGAAAAACCCCAGGAAAAGCAGATACTGAGACGTTAATTTCTTTTAAACTTTTTGATAAAAAGAACTTTCAAAATTTAAAAGATCAAGCATATTTTTCAGCATATTTATTTAGCACATTTTTCATTCATTCCCACTAAAAGATAAATACCCTGCAAAATTTAATTGTATTTTTAATATTTGACGTATAGCAACTTTGGTAACAATAGACATTTAATTAACAGAAAAGTCATGTTCCCGTTTCAAGCTCGCCTTAATTTGTCAGTTTTTGGAGTTAAAATACGCAGACACATTATTCTCAACAAACTTCGCTCCCTAAATCAACTGAAACAGGTGATAATCAACCCTAATACGAAGCTTTTTAGCGTGCGGATATCTCCCTCCATTAGATGTTCTTAAACTGCCCATAGAAGAACAAATGTACAAGGATTAAAAATCTCCATTCAGAAATTTCGGTTCTAGATGTGAAGTGATGACGACTCGACCTCGACAAGAACTTCAGAAGAGATGATATATTCTTACTAAGCGAGAAAAAAAGTTTTGCACATGTTTGTGGTTTTGAAAGTTAGTTCTCTAATTAAGAAAGGACTTTCATCAAACTGTCGCGCGATTTTACTTTGAAAACTTGCTCTGGCCTTGAGGAAGTCTTTGAGAAAATACTGACGATTCGTGTTGGAATTTACGGTGAATATTTACACAGCTCCATCTTGCGCGAAAGCCACAATGACCATAATTCACGGACGTCAAACACACGCGATACAAACGATTTTACCTCACTTAAGAGCTACAATACAAACTCAAGTTGACAATGAGGACAAAAAGATTAAACAAAATGCGATGTAAATTCACGCTGATATGCCAAATACTTAAAAGCTGTTGCTAAATATTTTTTAGCATGACGGTTTTTAATGAGTCATCGACAGTGTAGTTCAAATAAAATAATGGCGCTGCAAATATAACTTTCTTTCTTTCGTTATACTTTCTTTCTTTCGTTATACACACTGTCTTGAAATTTGCTTACGTCCTTTTCGCATTACTAATAGTTCATTGAATTGTCCTCTGTCTTGTCTCAAGAAACCTTAAATCAACTCGTAATAATGATTCGAAATTATTTCAAAAGTTCCTATTCTTGTAAAATCGTTCGATCTTCTTCCCAGGGCTTCGTCACTACAAGTTAGACAGGAAGCACAACGTTTTCCGTCCCGGTATGATAAAATCATCCCGACAATTTGTGCACGATGAAACATTTAGCCAGCTTCACGCATTCTGTGGGAGTTTTAAAACATTTTTTTTAGGCGCACTTTTACCAGAATTAACAATTAATTTCTCCCCTATTATTTAACATAGTAAATGTTTTGTTCAAGATGACAGACAAGGCAGATAACAGAAGCTTTTTATGTCTTTTTATGAGCCACAAAATGACGTCTTTAATAAATTATCTCATATATTTTTCCAGCTTGCCTAATTCTTCGGTGGAATTTGCTCGAATTTTTCAAGTTACGCTCATAATTGTTTAAGTTCTTATTAGATGTGATATGCCACGGAAAAATAGCTCAATAATTTCGAACTTCAATTTAATTAAAGAAATAAAACGTTGGAAAAATTGTGTGATCCACATTTCTAGTCCTCAAGTCTCTATTGTTTAAATTTGCAATTGAATTAGTCTCGATGCACGAATGGTTCAATTTCTGAAATTGAAAACTGTCAAACAATCTTTAGAACTTATGCACGTAGGAACATTTTTCATTTGTTTTGTATCTGAGGCGAAGAACTGTACATAAATTCAAGAAAAAGTTCCAGTAAAGAATAGTGAAATTGTTTCAAAGACAGCTTTCAAGACATGGGTTTTGCCTAAGTTAAGAGGCTTGCATTTTTCAGGGAATTTATTCAGCGTCGCTCTTAAGGCCCTGTTTACTATTCGAGTTGTTATCAGATAGTTGTCTTTTGACTGTCGACTGGTCTCATTCGCGTTTTCAACGATATAGAGAATACTTTATTTAGGCAGGCGATAAATTAAATCGTGCTATTTTTTGCAATTACGACTAGACCAAACTGTTCGACTGAAGTTCATGTAGACTTATTTTCCATCGATTACGATTCATCTTTCGTTAAATGTGATTCACTGGCGCCTTGAAACGAAGTAAGTAGGTGAATATGTAGAATATGGAACTAGCAATCAAGGAGATGCAGATGATAGAAATACAGAATATTGTGGTGAAACTTGCAAGATTTACTTTACGAAGCATCGTGTGTTATAGTCTTCATCCTGAACTTTTCATCTTACACTTAACGAAGGGTAAATTATGATTTTCTTGGTTTTTGCTTAAGCATTCATGAAATAATCAGTTCGGGAAGTTAAACGCTGACTACCATGCAATACTGCTTCCGTTGAAGGAAAACAACTCAAGGCCACTCAGAAACTGGCATTACATCGTCGTTTTATAATCGATAACAGAATCCTTGGAATCTTTTAGCCATCACGGGAACATTACAGCATTTAGGTTTTTAAAATCATATAGGAACATTAAGCAGCAGGCTCGTATAACTTCAAGGTGGTAAGACATCCAATAAATTTTATTCGTACCTTGAATTATGCGTTGCCTCTATTTCATTTTCTACGGTCTTCTTAAGGACAGGAGTCTATAAGGAAACGGTTGCTAAATCCTTTTTTTCCTTATAACTCTACTTTTGGTGTGCTGTCTTGTAACAAAATAAATAAAAAAAGAGAAATTGCAGGTTCCGCGTAACTTAACGAGCCCACCGAGGAGATTACGGGAAAACGGAGAAAAATTAACACTGCCTTCATTTGCGGATTTTTGCCTATCTGAGAACATAGGTATTTAGGAAAATTTTCTACGTCTCAATTCCGCGCTCAGAAATTTCCTCATGATTTCAGCTGAGATAAAGGAGGTTAACACATAAAATGCTTGGAACAAAACAAATTTGAGTAAAGTTTTTTAATTGTTTTTGTTCATGTCGTTGTTACCGCTGCTATATTTTAAATTCCCAACTTTATGTATAATACGGGTCCTAGATAAATAGCTCTGGCCGTCTCCCTCCCAAAAACGGTAAAAAAGGGAGAAACAAGAACAAAAATTGGCAGCATCGAGCATCACTTGTCTTTTGTGGAGACACAAGGTTTTTAGAGAGCATTTTTGTGTGTTTTGTTTCTCCTGAGCGATATTATTTTAGGGGAGATAAAACAAAAGCCATTAATAAAAGCTATACGCAAATTTTTCTCAAGTTCCTTTTCTATTTCATGATCGATAAGTCATAAAAAAAATTCATTTTTCTTGATAAACCTTTTTTCTCTTTCTTCATTTTACAGGTCCTTGAAAATTCAGATTTTTCTTACTTGAGTTTACACGATCGCCTTTGGTTATTGAGACCGATTATCATAGAAAGAGGAAATTTATGCTAATTTCCATTGAGACAAGACATCGTTGTCTTGCATCACGCAGCAGATTCATATATGGGTTCAAGATGTTTCATCAGTAAATTCAGTATACATTGGAAAATTCGACTTTTTCCAGGAAATAGTAAACTTTAATTAAAAATGTCGAACACTATATTTCCCAAACCAAAAATATCGAAATAGTCGGCAATTTAAGGTCGACAGATGCCGCCTGCTTTTGAGGTGAGTACCTTTAAACTAATCATTCAACATGTCTGTGCTAATAACTTTCTCTTAGACTTGCACAATACCAAATTTTAACTTTTAGTAGATAAGCTATGTTTATGGACGAATATGCAACAAAACAATGTAACTATTCTTTACCATATGTCAGCACTGTTCTCTTGTAAAAATAATTTCTTTGAGATGGTTAAGTGCGATAAAAATGTGCTTCCGTACGATGCAGAGAGATCAAATTCCCGCCTAATAGAACACAGGGAAATTGAACATAACATAGTGTTATACGTGCATGTTATTGAGAGAGGAGGGATGGGAATGTAACCATTTTCAATGAAGTCTTTCGAATTTACCGAAGTTTTTTGTCGTTTTGCATCTAATATACAATTTTCTGAATAAGAAACAATTAAAAATTTTTACTAAATACCCTTTCATTTTTCAAATATGAGTTCAAATCATGGCTGGATGCTGAATGTGGATTTTTGACTTAGTCTTTGCTAATTGTTGTAACTTTAACTCTTTTTGTATCAGCAAAAAAATAAAGGAGACATAAATAAGGTTGTACTCATAAGTGAATCGAAGGATAAAAAATGATTCGCCATCTGCGACCCACCTTTTCCAAAAGTCAAGTTAGTCAATAATGCATTCCAGGCTATGAACATGAAAAATGAAACAAACTTCATGCCTGCTTCAAAGTAACGGTTTTCCGTTTCTACCCCACGCGTATGGCGCAAGTATTAAGTTGATCACAAGCTCCTAGCAGTGGATTAAGCTTCCAAAATTGGCCTGTTTTTATGAAAGAAACCATACCATGAAAGTCAATCAAAACATAAAAAACAATTCAAAATTCTTGGGGCTATCAAGTCTATGTGGAAAGTAATAGAAATGTCGCAGATAGATGTTACCCGCTTCCCTCGATGGAGAGAAGTGGGTCTCACAGGAATATCTTTACAAGTTAACATACTTATTAGACATTGAAATTAGTCCTTAGAACAACATTGTAAAAATTTCGATCTATTTCTTTAGAACGTCTAATTGACGGCAAAAAACCCCCAGGAAAAGCAGATATTTAGACGTTAAGTTCTCTTAATTAAATTTGACAGATGAAGAATATTTTCGCCATATTTATCCAGCATATTTTTTAATTCATTCCTATCGAAAGATAAACACCTTGGAAAACTTATCATGCTTTTAATATTTGTCGTATGGCAAGTTTTCTAATAATAGACATATAATAGAAAGAAAAGTCATGTTCCCGTTTAAGTCCACTTTCATTTGTCAGTGTTTGGAGTTAAAATACGCAGACGTGTTATTTTCATCAAACTTTGCTCCTAAAATTGTCTGAGAGAGTTGATAATCAACCCTAATATAAAGCTCTTTAGCGCACGGATATCTATCTCCACTAGGTGTTCTTAAACTACCCATAGAAAAACGAATGTCCATTCAAAAATGTTGGTTTTAGATGTGAAGTGACGACGACTCGACCTCGACAAAAACTCAGAAGAAATAATATATTCTTATTGAGCGAGGAAAAAAATACGATTTTTGACAAGTTGGCTAATTAACATTTACAAGCTGCTGCTTATCCTCATCTTATATAAAACAAAAATCCCGATGATTGTTGAAACCCTTTGTTTATCTGCTAAGTCCAATAACCAAAAGGGCAAGAAAGATTCAAACATAAAGTTTCCAAACTATATCCGATGAATAATCCTTTCTAATACATCAAACATTTTGGACGGAGTTGAAACTTCAGCGACCTTTTGGTAATTTTTGTGGTAAACCGAGCAACATATTGTTTACCAGAGCTTTCGTGTTGCATAGAAGATAGGTTCGGTTAGTAATCCCCGAGTATTGATAATCTGCTTTCGTTGAAAAACCCTACGTTAGTTTGCTTTCAAAATCGTACCATATCCTTATTTGAGAATGAAGCCAACCTTTTTCTTTTGGTATGTAGAATTAAAGGAGCCGCGGGTAAATATCCTTTTCGTAAAGAATATGGATTTTCCAGGGAAAGTATTACTCAAATAACCCATCAAAGTTTTCGATATAATCAACTCTTACCTCTCAAGATGCAAAGCTCTTTGGTCCCTTACTGTTTTCGAGGTAAAAGTGCTTTCTTTTATAACAATATGGTAGCTATGGTTACCATAGACACACCTGGTTTCAAGCCAAAACGATGATTAACTTTAGAAAAGAACTTCCTTGTTCTCTCTACAATGTCACTGAACCATGACATTAATTAAATAATAGTTACCACGATCACGATCTCAAATTTTGCAATAAGCGTAAGTTTCGGCTGGTAACGTTGACAAATTATCATTATGAAATATCATATTCGGTCTACAGTAGCTTTTAAACGATGTTTAAGAAGATTTCCCTTAAGTTCTCAAATAATCCAGTGTTTATCTAAGGAAACTCCACCGTGTGATAATAAAGGATCGCTAATGAAAACTAATACGGAAAGGATGTCTTTGACAAGGAAATATTGCCAGCCTCGAGAAACGTTAAGCTTTTCGTTGCATAAGCTATTCACAAAAGCTCTAAACATACAATAACACTCCTATGTTTGCATCAATCAAAAGGGTCCCAATTACAGAGTATGGAACTTCTTTAAAATAAGTGGGGGCCGAGTAGATTTTTACGGGCAGGGAAAACTGTATTTTTTTTTCTTTTCGCCTTAAGAAATGTTGCACTTTTTTGTGGTTTTGAAAGTTAGTTCTCTAATTAAGAAAGGACTTTAATCAACCTGTCGTGTAATTTTAGTTTGAAAAGTAACTTGCTCTGGCCTCGAGAAAGTCTTCCAGCAAATACTGACGATTCGTGTTTGAATTTATCTATCAAAGTTTATGAGGCTCCATCTTGCGCGAAAGCCACAATGACCATAATTCACGGACGTCAAGACATGCAATACAAACGATGTGCTCGAACCTCTGGGGCTTCAAAGCTACAGTACAAATTCAAGTTGACAATGAGGACAAACAGATTAAACAAAATGCGATGTAAATTTACGCCGATATGCCAAATCCTTAAATTTTGTTTGCTTAATATATACATTTTCCCCTATTATTTCACATAGTAAATGTTTTGTTCAAGAAAATAAAACTTAGGGATAATGATCTTGTTTCTTTCAAGTGATCTTGTTTATTTCAAGTAGCTGAAGAAGTTTTCTCGCCAAATGTTTGTAATACCCACATTTGGAAGCTCGGTAAATTTCATTTTCGTTTTATTTCAACTTCACAGAAATAGAAGTTAAGGCTGGATATCAAATCTTACCATGGGGTTAAAGTGATACTCAAGTTTTTCATGCAATAAGTACAGTCATTCCTACCTTCCAAGATCCAACGTTCTTTGGTGCCCAACACTAGACTAATTTAGCCAAACGCGTTTTCTTTTATTACTGTCTGGTAGCTATGGTTACGATAGATGAAAGCCAAGATGAACATTAATATTAGAAATGAACTTCCCTCTTCCTGTTTGGGCTCTTTGCACAAAAAGCTAAATTGGTGAAATAATACGCGGCGAAGAATTTAAGTTAGTGCAACGGATTGACTGAAGTAATGCGTCTTTTCATGTGGCAAACAATAGCGCCGTATCCATTCGGCTGTTGGTTGCAAACAATCAAAATGGATTTTTTTTCTCTTGGTATCACTTCCGGTTCTAACAAATTACAAGATTCCGGGCTTTATTTTCTTGTTATCTATTAGGTAATATAGGAATTTGCATCAACTTTAAACTCTGTGAAAAATGTAGCAACACAGATCTTAGGGCGAGTACCTTACTGTACCACCCACTTCACTACATCGAGCGAAATGTTTTCCCGTTTGGCCCTCCTACTTACTCTAAACAATACATGTGCGCAATAATTTAAGGATGGCTTTCCTATTTGAAAACCCTATGTAATTAGTCATTTTGTCTTCCCCCGCATTCATTAACGTCCAAATTAATTAATGATGAGTTCTAATAACCTCTTTGCCATAATTTGAACGGAATTCAAACGAGCTGCATTTAAGTCTAAGTTGAGGTATAGGACAAAACGATTTGTGAAAAGAAATCTTTGTAAATACAGAAAAAAACAGCCGTAGTTTTTGGCAAGTTGGATGATTCAAATGCAAATTTTTTTCATTAACTTTATTTTTCTTTACTGTAAACTGAACCCAAACAGCGGGCTTCGTTATTTTATTAAATCCTCTCTCATTGCCTTATGGGATTTCCCGTCGCTTCCAGTTTCAAAATTTGTGACGTGCTTGGAACCGCCAGCTCTGACATTTATAATTTGGTATTTTTCTCTATTTACGATAGCGATAGAACTACAATTTCTACAACGGGTGTCATTATAACATAAACAAATATCGCTGAGAAAAGGTTCAAGAAGTAAACCCGTTGTAGGAAAATAAAAATTGTGGAGAATCATCATGTTTATTTCAGTAGCTGAAGATGTTTCCTCGCCAAATGTTTGTGATACCCACATTTGGAAGCTCAGTAAATTTAATTTTCGTTTTATTTCAACTACACAGAAATAGAAGAGTTAAGGTGGATATCATTTCTTATCATGGGTGACGGTCAAACTCAAGTTTTCCATGCATTAAGTACAGTCATCTCTTACCTTCTACCTTGAGCCAAATGTGTTTTCTTTTATCACTGTCTGGTATCTACGGTTACGATATAGACTGTTGGTTTCAAGCTACGATGATCATTAATATTAGAAATAACCTTCCCTCTTCTTCTTTGGGCTCTTTGCCCAAAAACTTAAATTGATAAAATAATACGCGGTGAAGAATTTAACCAAATGCAACGGATTGACTGGAGTAATGCGTCATGGACTGTAAAATGTTATTATTAATTTCTTGAAAGTGTCGCCCGTCACGTCAGGTGGAAGAGGCATTATAATTATAGATCGTTTTTTTAGTAATTCATACCAAACAAACGCAATGCAGGTGAATTTAAGAGAACAAAAACACGGACTCCAATAAGAATTCAAGGCAAGTCCTGTAAAAATGGTTTTGAGAATCACACAAACACAGAAAAAGAGGATAATTCAACACTGAGGTACTTCTTAGCTTGATGAATTTTATTTAATCGATTACAGTCTATCAATTTAGTTAATCTATGATAATAAGACTGGAAAGACAGAATTATTTTTTGGAATCCATAATTTTCTAAAACGTGTTTAGTTAAACAAGCCCACTAGAGACTGGGGCTGCACACTGCGGCAGACCCGACGACCCAACATACACCAGGGTAGTTGGGATCCAAATATAGAAACTTCTTTACATGGTGTAGAGCCAGTAAAATCATTTAGTTTTCGCTAAAAATTTGGGTTGAAATGGCCGTGACCAAAAGTTGCACTTGCAAGGCTTGAAATTTTGAGGACTTTGTTACTCCGACCGATTTATTAATAAATTTTTCATAATGAGACATACACGCTGGGGGTGTACTGTGGGATTATAAAGGACCTCTCTGCGTCTCTGCTATGATTTGTGACTCCTGCAGTCTTGACCGCTCAACACGGAAAGTATGTTCAATCGAGAGTTGAGAAATTTATTTCGCTATCATTTACTCTCCAAAATACATTTTGAATTTCTTTAACTATCAAATAAACTATCAAAAGATGTAAAGCAGTGCGCTGTTTAAAATTTCCTCGATTGACCGACCAGAAACCTTAAAGAGGTTGACAAATTAATGATGATTTTCTCTCCTGAGAAATGTAAAAAATTAGAAAAAAAGTTTCAAACTTTTTCATTAGCATTTTCATTCATATTTGTATATTCACCAAGGCGCATCCAGCGAGCCTGGGTTACCTGTGACTTTATCGTTCATTTCTTCTTTGGTCGATAAATCTCCGAATATGACTTTAAGGTCTACCTCAAAATATCTGTCTAAATCTTCTCGGCGTATTTAGCTTTGAATTCGTTTCAGGCCATAAACGCAAATAAATTTCTCTCACATTTTCGCAGCCGAGATTCCTGACCGCAAAAAAGAAAGAAAAGAAAGTTAATGACTGTGAATGTATGAAAATCATATATGGGAACTGCGGAGTAAGAAATGAATACGAAAGAGATCTAGCAGTGAAAACTACTTAAGCAGTAGTGAAAATAAAGCCTGAAAATTTCAGGCCATACGGGATTTGAATCTATGAACTTTGGCTCTACCACATTTATATTTGCATTGTCATCACTCAGGTTTCTACGATCAAAACACAGATCGGCTACACATTTAAGTATGAATTTTAAAATAATTGTAATCATTACAATTAAGAATAATTTTTTTTACCTTTTTTAAGTCTGAGAGTTTATCAGTTAAATTGCCTAGGATATGTTGATAACAAGTCGATTGTATCGTTTAATTTTGTCCTAGAGATACCAATTCTGCCGCATTTCTTAAAAAGATCTTTGCTATCAAATAATTGACCAAAGCGACAATTGATCAACGAACCTGTTTCTCTCAGAAATTCGTCTTGATAATTCAAAAGGGAAACCTCATTTGAAAAGTTGAGAAGAAGCTAGAGTTGCTTGAGGCGTAGCCGAGAGCAACTCTTACGCATCTTTCGTGCTCTCCAACTTCCCGCGTGCTTCATATCTCGATGAACGCACGCTGATGTATGAATCAATTGTTAATTTTAAAACGTTCCGGAATTCGAAGCTTACAACACAGTTATTATGGAAGAAATAGATCATAATTATATAATCTAATAGAATGTTGTAGTTTCCCATCCTATGTCATTAGAAAGTTTGAGTACCAATGTCACAGTGACTAAAAATTCTAGAAACTATGTACAGTCTTTATCCACAACACACCTAACACGATTTGAAAATCCTTGTACATAATGATGCTAATGAAAGCATAAGCGAACATAGTAAACAACTTGTGTACAGTCACGGACCGCCGTGACTCATCATGGAAGGCTTTTAGACAGAATAACAACTACATGCAGAGAAGGCATAGGTATTAACAGTTGCTTTAGTTTCTGCTATGGTAGATAAGCTAACACTCCCCTTTGGACTAACGACCTGAGTAAACATTAAGGGTTCAAAATGTTTTTTAATAAGCGAAATGCAAAGCTCAAAGTTCTGCTTTAAACTCACTTAATGAAGCTCTTCGATAGGAACAGATAGAGATGATAATTGCTAATATTA